GCACAAAAATCCCGTAGGGTGAGCATAAAGCTCAGTAGGAAATCCTTAACAAAGTATATACATTTTATACAAGTTTCAAGAGATAAAATGCACATGCCATGCTATGCCCTTTTTGAAGATAAATCACATTTTCATCTTTTGAAAACCATCATGCTCAATGAGGTCATGCAATTTTAATTGTTCAATACTTAACAATATATTTCAAGGGCGGTAAATACGACTCTGGTAATCCTAGGTTGGTGTTTGCAAGTAAACTATACAGGTACTACAAATTTCTCATTTTTACCAGCATTGATTGAAAGGCTCGACACCTATTCAATTTCATCTACACCACCTGTCATGACTTACAACCGTATTTATCCCAAAACCAATTCATGGAAACTTGTTTCTCAACATTCTTTTCTCAATGCAGGTTTTCAAATCAACTTTCAAAGTTTAATGTAATCAAATGAATTGATATGCCAATAACACAAGATGAATATAAATATTTTTATTCCAATTCATCATCCAAGGAATAACATAATTCCCTCTTCTCAAGTATCCTCAACAATTAATCATTTCAAGACTATTTTAACATTTTGAACAATAATTTCCAAAATGAACAACAATTCTCATATTCCCTGAAATTCAGCATTTATATAAATATAAATAAGAAATTTTCCAAACATCCATTTATTTTGACACACAAAATAAATATAACAATATCATTCATGAATTTTCAGTCTCTTTTAAAAAAAATCCTAAAATTCTAGGTTTTCTCACCAAAACTATACAACTCAAATCTTTTGAAAGAAAACTTTTCAAAATCATCTTCTCTTGAATCAACGAAGATCAAAACCCATAAGATCATTTTAAAAGAACAAAAGACAAACCCATTTTCAAAATCACTCAACTTCTTGAATCAACAATTAATTTTCAAAGCTATTGAAAGATGATTTTGAAAATTATATAGATCTTGCAAAAATATATTTATAACTCTAAAAAAATCCCTACCTCAAGTTTTGAAGAAGAAATGAGATGAAACCCCCAAAATCAACGATGTCGAAACTTGATCTTCACCGCACACAATGAAACCCTCGAGATGATAACCCACTTTGATGAAGAAGGAATGACAAAACTCAAATGGATCTTGAGAAATCAAGGTTTTTGATCTAGTTTGTGTAGAGAAATGTAGAGAGAAGAGAGAGGAAATGTCTTTTAGAGAGAGATATACAAAAGTGATTTGAAATATCAGATTCACGAACTGATATGACATGGTTCGCTCGAGCGTGGAAAGCCCCGCTTGAGCATCGAATACACTTTCCCAGTACTTTTTGCAGACAGGTCAAACTTATGGAACTAAACATTCTCCGCTCAAGCGCATAAACGGCTGCTCGAGCGGCCAAGCAATTTCGAATGCATTTTGCATTTTTGTTTTGGCGAGCTGACCGGGTAAGCTGTATAGGTTGACTCGACCCCCGTAAGCTGTATAGGGTGACTCGACTCCCGACATACTCAGCGAAGTGGCAAAACATGAAGGAATTAACTTACAATACAACTCTACAAGGCACAATTTAGGTTGGATTCGCATCTAAAGGTTTGGAGACATTACCTGTTCCAAACACACCACTATAACCCAATAACCAAAAAAATAAAAGAAATACAAGGGAAACTAAGATACGTAACACTGTTCAAAACCATACTAACCCGAGCTCGAAACACCACAAGAGACGGGTCAAAATCGGGGTTGCTACAACCTTTCCCTCTTAAAGAATGTCCTCCCCAAAATTTTAAATCAAATTACCCAAATAAAGGGGGTTTCTAGCGATCAAAACCACGATATTTCATTTTCAAATCACAATATTAACTCTCAACCATTTTATTTTTTTTTGCCATTTTCCACCATGGTTATCTCATTAACAACAACCGTCCACATTAACCTAAACATGAAGCAAAGAAATGACAATCTGTAACTACTTCATGCTTAACATAACAACATACATAACAACATGTAGTCAACAATTTTAATACATTTCCCTCAAACACTAGGGAATATTACAAGGAAAAACAACTTAAGCATTTTCAAACAAATCCGGATACTTAGAGTGGACTTTCGCCTCCCGTTCCCACGTCGCTTCTTTAACCCCATGGTGTCTCCACAACACCTTTACCAATGGTATAGTTTTGTCCCGTAGCACTTGCTCCCAGGTATCTAATATTTGAATCGGTCGTTCTTCGTAAGAGGCATCCTTATCTACCTCCAAGTCAACCTAATCAAGCACATGAGAAGGGTCGGGTTCGTACTTCCTAAGCATAGCTACATGAAATACGTTGTGAACTCCCAAAAGTTGTGGCAGCAAAGCTAACCAGTATGCCACTTCCCCAATTCGCTCTAAGATCTCAAAAGGCTCATTGAACCTTGGAGATAATTTACCATTCTTACCAAATCTCCTCAAACCCTGCCTTGGTGAGATTTTTACAAATACATGGTCACCAACTTCAAAAGATAAAGGTCGTCTCCTCTTATCGGCATAACTCTTTTGTCGACTTTAGGCCGTAGCTAACCTCTTCCGAATGAGAACAACTTTCTTGGTTGTCTCTCTAACAATTTCCAGACCCAGTAACGGTGCATTACCCACTTCGGCCCAACAAACCGGTGATCTACAAGCTCAGCCATACAAGGCCTCAAATGGTGTCATCCCAATACTAGCTTGGTAACTATTGTTGTAAGCAAACTCAATCAATGGTAAGTGTCTTTCCCAAGGCCCCTTAAAATCAAGGATACAAGCTCTAAGCATGTCCTCCAAAATCAGAATGGTACATTCCGACTGTCCATCGGTTTGAGGATGATAAGTGGTGCTATGAGTTAACTTAGTTCCCAACACCTTTTGAAGGCTTTGCCATAACCGGACAGTAAAACGAGGATCCCTATCCAACACAATAGTCACAGGGACTCCATGAAGTCGAACTATCTCTCTAATATACAACTCTGCTAAGCGTTCAACTGAGTCGCTGGTGCACATCGGAATGAAATGGGTAGACTTAGTTAACCTATCAACAATCACCCAAATGGCGTCATTGCCTCATTGTGTTCTAGGAAGCCCAACTACAAAATCCATAGTAACACGCTCCCATTTTCACTCGGCTATCGGTAAGGGTTGTAACAAACCCGCTGGTCTTTGGTGTTCGGCCTTCACTTGTTAACAAGTAAGGCACTTCGATACAAATAAAGTGACATCACGTTTCATACCCCTCCACCAAAACTGATGACTAAAATTATGATATATTTTAGTGCCTCCCGGGTGTACCGTAAGGCGCGAGTAATGGAACTCCCGAAGTACTTCATCTCTACAAGATTCTGGTACAAACAAACGGTCTAGGTAACGTACACTCAGATCCGAGTGAACATTCGAACCTTTCTCTTCCTTCCTATTGGAAATCTTAACACGGATTGATTCCACATCATGGTCTCCTCGTTGTGCCTCTATGAGCTTACTAACAAAGGTATGTTGAGCATTCAAAGTAAACAATGTATCATTCTCTCCGGACTCAACCAAGTGCAAATCAAACTTGCCAATAACATCTAGCATATCCCATTCCCGAATGGCTACACTTGCCAAACTACTCACAGATTTTTGACTTAAAGCATCGGCCACCAAATTGGCCTTCCCCGGATGATAGTGTAACTCAAAGTCATAATCCTCCATAAATTTCATCCACCTCCGTTGTCGTAAATTCAAGTCTTTTTGAAAAAACAAATACTTTACACTCGTATGATCGAAGAAAACCTCAAACTTCTCACCATACAAGTAATGCCCCCAAATTTTCAAAGCAAAAATCACCGCTGCTAATTCTAGATCACGGGTGGAGTAATTTTTCTTATGAGTTTTCAATTGTCGTGAATTGTAGGCCACAACTTTTCCCTCTTGCATCAAGACACAACCAAGTCCATCTCTGAACGCATCACAATATACAGTGTAATTCAAACCCCTTTTCGGAATTATCAAAACCGGTGCGGTAGTCAATCTAGTTTTAAGCTCTTGGAATGACTTTTTACAACAAAAGTAACCTATGATGACGAAAAGCAGTGAAGAAAATAAATTTCGTCACTAAATGAGAATAATCCGTGACGAATTATAAAATTTTGTCACATATAATAAAAAAATAAAAATAATAGGTGACGAAATTTATTTTCATCAACAAATACTTCTTTTTAGGTGAGGAAAAAATAAGTTTCGTCACCGAAGGTTTTTCCACTAATTTTTTTTTTGTGACGCCCAAATTTTGAGACTTTTGGTGAGAAAAAAAATTGTCACCAATTATAAAATTATTAGTGAGGAATATATTTTCGTTACCAATAATTATATATACATATATATATTGAGAAACTTGATTTTAAATATTTTAAGACCATTTGGTGAGAAATATATTTTTGTCACTAATAATTTTTAATATTTTGAGACTTTTTAGTGAGGAAATTATTTTGTCACTAATTTTGGAGGAAAATTTTTGACATATTGGACAGTAACGAAAAAAAATATACTACTAACTCCCTCTCCCCCCCGCCCCCTCTTTTTTGTTTATCAATTTTCCTCTCCCCTCTTTCTCTCTCTCTCTCTAAACAAAACACAAGTTAATTAATTTTCTAAGTAACCTATAGTGACAAAAAGTAGTGAAGAAAATAAATTTCGTCACTAAATAAAAATAATCTGTGACGAATTACAAAATTTTGTCACATAATAAAAAAAGTAAAAATAATAGGTGACGAAATTTATTTTCGTCAATAAATACTTCATTTTAGGAGACGAAAAATTAAATTTCGTCACCAAAGGTTTTCTCTTTAAATTTTTTAGATGGGGCCAAAATTTTGAAACTTTTAGTGAGAAAAAAATTTATCACAAATTATAAAATTATTAGTAACACAAAAATAACTTTTCGCGTCTATTTTTTTACGACTGATTATTTGACCGTCGCAAAAAAATATTATTTGCAACGGCAAATCAGCCGAAGCCAGTATTGGGACTTATATTTTCAAACAAAAACTTGCGAGCTCCAATAACCCACTCAGCCCAATTTATATTTTTCATTTTTCTTAAACTCTCATTTCCCCCAAATCGCTCGATCATTGATTTATATCTTGCCCTGGACTCTTATTTTCCCCAAATCGCTCGATCGTGTCTGAGTAACTAGGTTCATTGTTAGATCAAGAGCCCTCTCTCGATTTCGCTCTGTAGATCACCACGGTCGTCTAAAGAAGAAATCTCCAACGGTATGTCTCTCTCTCTCTCTCTCTGAGTCTCTTCGAATCATTCATTCTCTGAGTCTCTTCGAATCATTCATTCGTATTTCAACTTATTCATCTCTTTACTTCGATCATTTGAACTCACTGTAATTCGTATTCAACTTCTTCATCCGAACTCACTGTAATTCGATCTCTTTTCGTCAATCTATTGATTTTTCCACCAGGTAGTTTGATTCTAGAAACAAGCTTTGGTTTGAATCAATGCTTCCTCAACTGTTATTAATTTGAGAGAAATGAATCAAGAAATGAATATTAGAGAGCATTCATATTATCTTTGGTTTGTTATATCTTAGAGAGGATTGATGCTATTAATCAAGAAATTATTCAGCTGAAGAAGGGAATTCACCAACAGGTTAGCGTGCAACACTTGCATCAAAGAATATCTCTCTTTTCTCAACTATATTTTACAGTATTTTTCAAGCAAAGTACATTAGTCCTAGCAAAATTGTTGCAACCTTGTTTGAACATTTCTCTCCTTACATATCTATCTGTCTCACTTGTAGCATTAACATGCTCTGTTCTTAATATATTTTACAGTATGCTCCTTAGACTATAAGATCTATGAAGGACTTCTGGTGCCACATAATATGCACTTCCACATATTTCATTTCTAAAAAAGAAACATCTTATGAATTCAATGCTAATATTGTTGATTAGATTGAGCACATGCACGATCACAATAATCCATGCAGGTAGCCTTTTTAAAGGATTGAATATGAAAACTCACTATTTTTTTAATTTTTGTTTTGGAGGATTCATGTTCAATTCTCACAAGAAACAAAATACCCGAGCTTAATCGATACATATGTGAGCTTATCACACTAATTCAAAATTTATTCAAAAAGCCTTATACTCAAAAACAGTGAGTCTTGTCATAAAAATATATATGTATGATCATAGCATTGTAGTAATGCTATTATTGCAGAATTTACGGGAGTGCACATCAAAGACTACAGTGGAGTATCAGGTGCCATTTCCAGAACTGAGCACAAGTTCAGTGAACATTCTGCAATATATATCATAAAAAGAGACCAATTACCAATAACATTCTAAAGATTGAATCTATCACGGAAGAGGAGGTCACCAAATAATACCAATAAAATCACATTTTCAAATAAATCACAATTTGACAAGTACACACTAGAAATGAAACAATCACAACTTCAATGGGGTTAAAAACAAATCAAATATAGATATTTTTGATGCACTAATAATACACATATTGGAGCTGAATAACCCTCCTTAAATAATAATTATTTGTTATAACTACTGCATAATGAATGGGGAGATGTTAAATGACAATTGTATCTACAATCCAAGCAACAGAGTAGAGTAGCTTCGTTAGCATTCACAACCTGTAGATCTTTGCTGCCGTCCTCCACCAGGGACATCAATGGTGTCAGCTTATTGTAAATTAAAACTATGTTTCCCCATGTACTCCCTAGAGCACATCATATGGACCAAATCTGGTACTGCAGTAAAAGTCATGAACTATTTGGAAGAATTAATGCAATGTTGGTTAACTGAATAACTCTGACACTATGTAGTATAAATAGAAAACCCAGTATTAATAAGACTCCTAATTAAAAAGAAAATGAATAAAATACTGTAGTCAAAATTATAAAATTGTAAATAAAGTCTCCATGTGTATGCATGAACATTCTGCATCACCCTAGACCTCTGGTAGTTGTATGATTTTTCAACATGAGCACTTGCTAAGATTTTTTTAAAAGCATTTCAAAGGTCTCCAAATTATTAGCTTGAAATGAACTGTGGATACTATTTCTTTTGCTTCAAAACAGTTGTTGTAGTACCTTGAATCTACAAGCCTAACAAAAGAATAACGAGGAGGAATTTTAAGAATCTATTAATATATACTCTGCAACATAAAGAAACATCTGTGAGCAGAAAAATGGGATTTTTTAACACACTCAACAAGGTCTGCCACTTGGGTCATAAATGCTGAGATAGATGATACATCTGGATTAGTATTTTGAGCAGCAGATTGTTTTGCAGGTTCCATGGGCTTTGTATCTGGTACTGGTGCAGAATTTGAAGATTTGAGGAGGGCAACCTAGGATGTGTAGAGTAGGTTTTAGATAGAGCATAAAGGGAACATCATTATAACAAAAGGAAGTGTAAACATTCTATAAGAATGTGCATCTTACCTCATTAAGCTGGGAAAACACCTTAGAAACATTAGATTGATTGTCCCTAGTCCCCTGCCAAAGAAATATAAAACAAAATGCAAGAATATTAAAATCAAACAATGTGGCATGACTAGTCAAGGGGGGCATGAGGATAAGGAATTGGCTGGAAAGTTTGCAATTATAGATAATTTGGATTAAATCTGAGTTGTTGGATTTGGGTTCTCAGTGATGTGTCAAATTGTGATAAAAAAAAGACAACAAAATCATTGCAAAGACTGATCCAAGTTCTGGATTGATTTAGGTGCTTGTTTTTATTTTATTTTATTTATTTTTGTAAGTATGGTAGGTTTGTTTTAATAAACTATGTCCTGCAGTTTACATGGGAAACAAGGCAGATATAAGATTAATTCACATCAAACATATTACAAGCATGAAAACAATTCCATACCAAAACAATATTACAGAGATTACAGATCAAGTTTCAAAAGCATAAAAAGTATATTGTTCATGCATGCATAATGGTATTGTTTTGCACAGTTACTTTTTGAAAAGACTTCAATTAATACAAGACTTGAATTATCAAAAGGGGAGGTCTTGAGTCATGAGTGAGTCTTCTACTGTGCCAAAGCACTTGTACTGTAAACAAGGAGGGCACCCCCTGCAAGAATGCCAACCAGGGTTACTGCCCATATCAACAATCCTGTGGTACCTGCATTTCCAATAGTCTCTTATCAGTTCATCCAAACATATGAAGTGTTTTGTGTAGTGCTTATGAGGTAGAAATAACTTAAGTTAGCTGATAATCTAGAAACTATTGATGGGTGCTTCTAACTTTTGCTTTTAGATTATTAACTTTTAGTTTGTAAAAAGTTGGGCTAAACGTATCAATAGTAATCAAAGATGATACCTTACCACTAGCATTGTCATATGCTATATGCTATCATTGACTAATGATTAACTTTAAATGAACTTGGGCCTTGTGGGAACCACTTCATTGGTTAAGTGGGAGAGAAAATTGATCCCAACCCTGCCCATTTGGTCAAGTGACATCTCGTAAGATGATGTTTGTACTCAATAACTGTTCAGCTAGAGTAACCATGAAAAGTTTAGAACACTTTTACTGACTAGTGTACTTGTCTCTTTATGTCTTGTTTACTACAATTATGAGTAAAAAATGTATGTGTTAATAGAGTTGTTTGTCATGAAATCATCTAATCAGTCTCATGTCAAGCACCATATGATATTTTAATGTTATAAAATATCATCTTACCTCCAACATAGACATCACCACTTGGAGACCAATCATCAGTGTTATAGATGGGACTGTAAATACAGGAAGCAATAATTAATTAGATATTTAGCTACATTGTATTAATATCATCGCTATATGACAGAAACGCGTATTATAAGAACTTAGCTCTATAGTTCCTGAGAAACACAAATATCTTTTAAGAACTTAGCTCTATAGTTTTTACTTCTAAATTTCTTGTTCTTGTATATTCTCAAATGACCGCGTCACTTTATATAATGGTCTTTGAATACATCTGAACTTTTAAATAGTTAATATGTACTATCACACGCACACATCAAGACACTTTGAATATAATCATGTGACTCTTTGAACTTCAAAACTCTATTAAACTCAACCTTTGAAAATTAATTCTAAATTAATTTCAACACCATGTTCATCATATATTTACCTTTTTTCAATCTAATTGCACTATACCCATAGGAGTGATTAAAATTGATAATTTTTATTTTGGCAGTATATAATTTTTATCATTAATGCCTGGAATTTTTGTTGCATAGGTGCAATGTGGTGATGTGGAACTTGAAAAGAAAATTTTTGTTACAATTATTTAGGAGCGTATTGCTTATCTTCTTGTTGGTCTTGCTGGCAAGACAGTAGCAATTTTATGATCATAAGCTCAACATTTGAATTACATTTGCTAATACAGTGGCTTTGTTGTTAACTAGTACATTCAAAATCCATTAGCTGGTATTATGTGAATTGTGATTGTGTAGATCCATATACTGATCTTTCTTTCAGCTTCCTTATTTTGATTGTTTTCTTGTTTAAGTGGATATTTGATTATTGGCATGCTATTATCTAAATTTTCACAATGCTTTGCTTAATTAAATAATGTTAATTATATTTGTTTGTCCTAAGTGCATGAGGAGGCTCAGCCAATGGTTTTTGGCGTAGCTAATAAGGAAACAAGTTTCTTTAATTGCAATTTCTTCCTGTTTAAGAGAGTTATCATATAAATCACCATAATTAATTATAACAGGAAAATAGAATATGTGCAAACTCCGCAACCTGCTGCTGGTGACTTTGTTGTTTCTTAGAAACAGTGAGACTAACAAGCCCTGCTGAGATGTTTCACATTCCTATTTACTCTTTAAATTACCAGATATGATCAAATCTCATAAATCATGGTGGGACTATAATGCTCAATTGATAGGGTTCTTTTTGCTTGTTCAAATGCAAATCAGAGCAACTTTCTTGTTGACTCTTTTATCTGCATTTGATTCTTTTTTAATTTAATGAGTAATTTTATGCAATCTTTGTCCGATAGAAACCCATAAAACAGAGTGGTCTGCAAAGATATACTTTCCAAAGCATCATTCTTTGGAGCAAAATTCCCAATCACTCTCATCTTCATCAATACGTCATCATCAAATTCATCATTTAGCTCCCTCAAAATTATTCTCCGAGATAGCTTGATGAAGTCAATGATATCAAAATTTAGTTGTAGTTTTTTCAGCTTTTACTTTTTATCAGTGTCTTTTTTACTCTTTCAAGATGGTTTATAATTTCTGACTTCAAATTTGGCTCGTAGGCAATTCAAGACTCGAGAAAATAAGATACAGATAATAAGGCTTCAGAGTATGAATTGACATACTCAATTTGCTTGGAGCAAGTTAACTAGGAGACCTTGTTTGAAGCTTGCTATGTTTGCGTCAGATCTCTCTTCTAGCTTTCATACCAATTATTTAACAATTTCCCATCAGTGCATGTCACATGACGATTCTAATCTTTTGACCTTCATATACAGTGAACATATGCTCAGTTCAATCAATATTTAAGTACTTTGGTGAATTTCCAAATTATTAATGTTGATTTTATTTATTAAGTACTTTGGTTCTACGTGTTGCATAATCCCATCTGGGCAGACCTCAGTCCACTGTGCTCCAACTTGCATGAGTACAAGAAGCAGAGAAAATGCAGCAAACCTTTGTACCCATTTGAACATTTCTGGAGTTTTTGCGACTTAAAAGCTTTCGAACTTTTTTATTTTTTGGTAATTGTAAATTTCCATATTGTTCTGCATAATAATGTAGATCCCATCTGTGTAGATTTCAATATTTTTTTTTTGATCGGCAAAAAAACACTTTATTGATGAATCCCATATACAAACATATGATAGAAAAACATCAATAAAGAGGAGCTTGGAGCTATAATGAGCTCCAACCTCCTAGTTGGTGAGAGACCAACACAAAACAAAGACAAAACAACTGAAAAAAAAGAAGCACCCAACCAACACAAAAACAAACAAACTGGATTGACAGCAGCACAACCACAAAGCTGAATCACCCTTTCAGATGTTACCAATTTCCAGGAGTAGAGCAAAACCAGAGCTTTCAGATGACTTCCAACCAGCAGCAAAGCAAAACAAAAGCAGATGAGGAAATCACCATAGAAATTCAGTCCATAAAGCTTCCAGGTTCTGTTCAATATACTCTATGCTCTGAATACTCTATGCTCTGTTGCATCCTAACTTGCATCAATGCAGAAAAAAGGAATACAGAAAAATCTAATCAAATAAGAGCTTTGCTTCCCAAAATTTCAAAAATGTTAGTCACATCATAGTAAATTGAACTTGTTAAATAATTGGTTAGAATCTAGATATGCTTGTCTTTGATTACTCAGTTGCTGCTGTCTTTTGCAGTTCCAAGCCAACCTTATGGATCCATCGCCGTGCATGATGCAGCGTGATGGATTAGCGTGAAAGACTTAGTAATTCTATGTTTGTCATGCATTAGAAAATTGAAGATCATGATTCAAACTTAGTCTTAGGAAATTAAGCTTTTAAGTATGTCAATTTAGTTACGAACTTGAATGGATTTGAGCCAGGAAATGAGATCAGTCCCATAAAATTGCGCCATTTGTTTGAAAGTCTGAATGAGACCATGCTTTCTTTTTCCTTTTTGGGTGTTGCTGCATTTCTTTCTCCATATCACATTTTTCAGCATGGGACATTTGCATATTTGGATGTTTCATGGAAATGAAATTGTTTTGTGGATACATAATTCTGGCGTTTTATGATATGTTAGTTGATAAGACACGATCCATCTTGGATGTATCTCTGTTAATTATCAATGCCCATTAAATGATCACTATATGCTTGTGACCAAATAGTTGTTCAGTTCCAAATGTGCCATCGAGTTTTTAGCTTCTTCGAATTAGTGTCTGCACTATCATCCAGATGAGGGTTTTTTGTTATCTTGGTTTTACGACATTGATGCTTTTTATGCCTAATCTAAATATACTCTGATTCTTCTCATTTAAAAAAATAAAAATAAAAAAATGTGCACCTGCCCATGGCAATTGCTGCCATTTCGTTTTGTTGGCAGTGATTGAATCTTTCATAGCTTTCAAGGCTTTTGTTATTTCTTAGTTACAGAGTTATCAAATCGATAATTACAATGACCCATTTATGTCACCGGCAGGAAGTGGATTCAGAGAATGGGTTCCTCTGCTTATGGGACTGATCTCATTTCCTATCTGTGGATTGATAAAGTGCTATATTGTATGTTTGATCTTTGAGAGCATCTCCTCTATAAATTTAAAGGTTATCTGATGGGTGTTATTTTTTGTTCTAGTTTTCAGGGGCACAAGGGATGGATCAATGAAATGAACTTGTTGGGTGTAGTCAAGCACCAAAATCTTGTACAGTTAGTGGGATATTGTGCAAAAGATTATGAAAGAGGGATTCAACAGCTTTTGGTGTATGAGCTTATGCATAACAAAAGCTTAGAGGACCATCTGTTGGCTCGGGTAGCGTCTTCTCTGCCATGGATGGCAAGATTAAAAATTGCTCAAGATGCAGCTCGTGGTTTGGCTTATCTACATGGAGAAATGGACTTTGGAGGCTAAAAATTTGTATGATGAATTATTATTAAATTTGTATGATGGATTTATTTTGATTTATAATATAAATTGGTTACTGAATTGTTTTGTAGAGTGGTGTATAATAGCTAGTGGATTTGTTAGTATATTTGAAGGCTATTGAGATATGAGCAGGATATTTGTGAAATAATAATTTAAATTGAATTATAAAATATGGAACAATAAGCTTTGTGATGAAATTTATCACAGCTATATATGAAAAGTTTTGTTGATTTTGTTGTTTGGTGACTAAAAATTTTGTCATGTATACATCTTTTTGCCACGAAATATATTTCGTCACCCCTGTATGACTTTTTGAGATGAAAAATTTCGTCACCTTTACATCTTACTGTGAGGAAATTATTTCCTCATCAATAATCAACATTTGTGACAAATTTATTCGTTAACTAAAATTATAAATATGGTACTGAATAATTATTCGGTGGCGAAAAAGAGAATTTTTGGCGACAAAATCTTATTTTATTGGTGACAAAAAATTTCGTCACTGAAGTAATTTCATTGGTGACGAAATTATTTTTCGTCACGGTGGTTTTTGGTGACAAACATTCAATGACGAAACTGGTGACGAAAATATTTCCTCACAAATATCTATAGTGACGAAATTAGCTCTTTCGAGACAAAAAAATTTCGTCATTCAAGACCCAACTTCTTGTAGTGTCACACGCCTCACTCCACACAAATTTGATACCCTTTCTAGTCAACCTAGTCAAAGGTGCAGCTAGTCTAGAGAAGTCCCTTACAAAACGTCGATAATACCCCGCTAATCCCAAGAAACTCTGGATTTCAAAAACATTCTTGGGTTGTTCCCAATCCTGTACGGCATCTATCTTGGAGGAGTCCACAGTCACTCCCTCTCTAAACACTACATGTCCCAAAAACTTCACCTCTGTTAACCAAATATCGCATTTTTCAAATTTGGCATACAATTGGTGCTCACTAAGTAAACCCAGCACTACCCGCAAGTGAGTCTCGTGTTCCTCTTCAGAGGTTGAATAAATCAAGATGTCGTCTACAAAGACGACCACAAAACGGTCCAAGTATTCCTGAAAAATTCTGTTCATCAAATCCATAAAGGAAGCCGGTGCATTGGTCAACCCAAAAGGCATTACAAGGAATTCATAGTGGCCATAACGAGTACGAAAGGCTGTCTTCTGAATGTCCTCCTCCCGAACTCTCAACTGATGGTACCCTGACCTCAAATCTATTTTTGAGAAGCAACGAGACCCTCTAAGTTGGTCAAACAAATCATCTATTCTGGGTACAAGATACTTGTTCTTAACTGTAACTCTATTCAACTTGCGGTAATCAATACACAACCGCAATAACCCATCTTTCTTCTTCGCAAAGAGAGCCAGCGCTCTCCAAGGCGATATGCTAGGGCGAATGAATCCCTTGTCTAAAAGTTCTTGGAGTTGAATCTTCAACTTATGCAATTCAGTGGGTGCAAATCTATACGGTGGCATCGAAATCGGTGCTGTGCCAGGCACTAATTCAATGGAGAACTCGATCTCCCGGTGAGGTGGTAAACTAGTAAGATCTTCTAGAAAGACATCTGGGTATTCACAAACTACCCTTGGTAACTCAACAAAAGCCCTGTCACTCTCACTATCCAAGAGAGTTGCAAGCAGGCCACTAAGCTTGCTCCTACTACGAGAGTCGACAATTGGCGACAAGGCTCTATCAACTCGGTTCCCTAGAAAATAGAAACGATTACCACCCGAAGTGCATACCGTAACTCTCTGACGGTAGCAATCAATCATAGCTTAATAAGAACACAACCAGTCCATGCCTAAAATGACATCAAAACTCAACATATCTAGCAATATAAAATCCAACGGAAGTCGACACCCGGCAACTTCTATTTCACAATCACGACAACCACGGCCTAAATCAACTGTACCCCCAATAGGTGACTCTACTCTGAGTGGAGGCACTAACCGTGCTACCTCTAACCCCAATGCAGAAACAAATGTAGTAGATATAAATGAATGAGACGCACCCATGTCTATCAATACATTAGCCAAAGAATTACACACAACAAAAATACCTCTCACAACTAAGGATTCTGGCAACTGCTCTGGCACGGTAACAGTATACATGCGCCTCTGTGGCCCCTGATTAACTTGCTCCCCTCTCAAAGCATAGGCCTATTGTATTGACTGAGTTGAAGCGGCTCCCTAATTAACTCGCGAAGCTTGGACTGATTGAGCCTACTGGTGTCTCTGAGTTTGCCTCGACCCTGATGCGCCAGATGCGCTTCCCAACTATGGGCAAGTTCTCTTCATATGCCCTAGCTGACCACACTGATAACAATTAAACCCTTGACCTTTATTCTGAGACTGAGACGACTTTGAGATCAGTTAGGTGGTAGTAATATTAACTGCCCTCCTCCCTTCTGTGGGCATAAGAAGGCTTTGTGACCCGGTTGGCCACACTTGAAACACGAGAAACTACTCGATGCACTTTTTCCCAGACCCGCACTAGGCAAAGGAAAAGTGGATCTAGACTGCTGTGGTTGGGACTAGGATGGATAGGTGTTCATGTTCTTCTTGTTCTGCTTATAGTCTCCTTGAGATTCCTGGCCCATAGACCTCGAACTTCGAAGCCTCTCATCCTCGGCTTGTATAGAAATTTCTACGTGTGTTACCATCTCCACAAGACGGTCATATTCCCGAATCATATTTCTCATAAGCTTGAACATAATTTTTGTTTTCAATTTTTTTTCAAATTCGATCCAGCTCTTCCGTTGCCACCAACTCTAGTGCAAATCTGGACAAACTAGAGAAGACCACCTCAAACTCTGCCACGAGCATGTCAAGTTGTTTGAGGTTTTTAAACTCTTGCCTCAATCTCTCCCTAGCAGTGGGAGGTATGTACTTATCTTGGAAAGCAACCACAAAGGCTTCCCATGCCGGCTCCACTCTACCCTTGGCATATTTCCACCATTGACCCGCGTCTCCCTTAAGGTAGTAACTCGCTAAAGTCACTCTTAGTTCATTATCTTCGATGTGAAGCATCTCAAATGTCTTCTTGGGCTCGGGGCCACTCATCTCAAATGTACTTAGCCACTCATCTGTTTTCTTGGGCTCGGGGCCACCATGGAACTCATCCAGTTTGGCCCGCAAGAACTCTCTAGTAAGGAAACTCGTCCTTGACTCTGCGGTGTTCTCTCGGGCTTGATTCTCCACCCTCAACAAGTTCATAGACTCTCTTAAAGCCCCTGCCATTTCTCGAGCTAGGGCCACCCATTGCGGTTTGACCTGCTTGTCTCGGGATTTCCGCCTGCTCCACTTGTTCGCCCACATTAGCTTGGCCGGACTCTTCCTCTTGCACTGGAACCTCATGGACTGGTACCTCATGCACACCTCGGCGAGCCCTACCACGCCTCCCACCTCTACTACCATGGGTTTGACCTCTTCCTGACATCCTATAAATGACAATATAATTAATTTAGCACACTAACCCACACGTGCCAGCAACTTGCCTTACACGTTTGATCACAATAATTCTATATATTCCTCTACCATATAACAATTAAATGTCACCCCACATAAGAATTTAGTCACGTAAACACATACGGATTATACTCTTATGATGAGATTCGTCCCACAAAAAACCAAGAATTCTTAGGAGAATGAGTATTGATCAAGTACCCTCAAATAACATCTCAAAAGTCCAATCCCATACCCATTTAGTCACATAAGCATGTTATCACATAGTCACAAAATGCATAACACTTCCTAATCATACTAAATGAACCCATTGTGGTTAAACAACCACTTCCCACGAGCTCCAAGTATTCAAACCCGGTAGCTCTGATACCAAGTTGTAACGCCCCAAATTTCTAGCCCAAATGACAATACAACAATCATGACTCTTTCAAGGAAAACCGAATATAAATCTCCAAACTTACATTACATAATACAATAGTTCTTCATGCAACAATACATTAATCCAACAACAAGTAAATAAATAAATAAATACCCCCAAGGGTTTACAAGTTTCCAAGGCTTGAGCCTGGTTGCACAAAACGGTTATTCAAACCCACACACATACATCCCTTGGTTTACACACAGAGTTACAGCAAAATGAGAGTCTCATACTCTCAACACACATTTCCTCGCCTTTAGTTAAGCGGCATCACCACATCTTTTTCTGCACAAAAATCTCATAGGATGAGCATAAAGCCTAGTAGGAAATCCTTAACAAAGTATATATATTTTATACAAGTCTCAAGAGATGAAATGCACATGCTATGCTATGCCAATTTTGAAGATAAATCACATTTTCATCTTTTGAAAACCATCATGCTCAATGATGTCATGCAATTTCAATTGTTCAAAACTTAATAATTTATTTCAAGGGCGGTAAATACGACTCTGGTAATCCCTAAGTTGGTGTCTACAAGTAAACTATACAAGTACAACCAATTTGTCATTTTTACCAACATTGACTGGAAGGCTTGACACCTATAATATGTCATTTTTACCAATATTAACTGAAAGGCTCGACACCTATTCAATTTTATCTACACCACCTGTTAAGACTTACCACCATATTTACTCCAAAACCAATTCATGGAAACTTGTTTCTCAACATTCTTTTCTCAATGCAAGTTTTGAAATTAGCTTTCAAAATTTAATGTAATCAAATGAATTGATATGCCAATAACACAAGATGAATATAAATACTTTTATTCCAATTCAGCATCCAAGGAATAACACAATTTCCTCTTCTCAAGTATCCTCAACAATTAGTCATTCCAAGACTATTTCAACGTTTTAAACAATAATTTCCAAAACGAACAACAATTGTCATATTCCCTAAAATTCATCATTTATATAAATATAAATAAGAAATTTTCCAAACATCCTTTTATTTTGACACACAAAATAAATCTCACCAAAACTATACAACTCAAATCTTTTGAAAGAAAACTTTTCAAAATCATCTTTTCTTTAATCAATAAAGATCAAAACCCATAAGATCATTTTAAAAGAACAAGAGACAAACCCAATTTCAAAATCGCTCAACTTCTTGAATCAACAATCAACTTTCAAAGCAATCGAAAGATGATTTCAAAAGTCATATAGATCTTGCAAAAATATATATATAACTCTAAGAAAATCCCTATCTCAAGTTTTGAAGAAGAAA